TCACAAAGTTCTCTCCTATTAAGTTAAACAAGCATGTATTTAGTTGGCACTAGTTTTGCGTCTTGTCACAAGTTTTGAAGTTGTTGGAGTTACTTTGTTTGCCTTTGCTACAGTTCCTGATTAATATTACTGTTGAGTTAAAAAATTTTAATGTTTTGGAGTACATCATCTTGCAGGTGTTAAGTACTTTTGTGGAACCAGGTTTTGAATGTGAGTAAAAAATTTTCTTGTAGCAAAGCTTTGCTCCGTTGTCTGATGCGGTTTCAACTGTTCAGTTTCAAAAGTCTGAAGGACAAAATCATTTTGAGTAAGGATTTACAGTTTTTATTTTTACTGTTATAAATAATCTTTTGGATTGTTATGTTAACTTGAGGTTTATTCTAGTGACTATCTAAGAGCGTGTTTAGGTGCAGCATTTCATATTTACCACTTTTAAAAGATTTAATTATTTTAAGCGTTTTAGAGTCAGTGCGAGAGGGAGCGGTAGCGAAAAGAAGAAAGAGAAAGCTAAGAGCGTGCAAGAGAAAGAAGGTAGTTTGTTAAATAGCTTGTTATTTTGGAATGTTTTGGTCACTACTAGAATTTTAATGAATTGTTTTATAATGTTTTAATGCACATGATTTGGGTGACAAAAGCTTTTTCTTTGTATCGTTTAGATGTCAGAAATGTTTAGTTTTTTATATTTCTCTTCGGAACTGTTTGTATCTGTATTTTTGCTGTTTCTTATCAGCAATTTATTTAAAATTTTGCGTATAATTGGTTTTTCTTAGCATCACGCCTTTTTTTTGCTTACTAGACAAAAATAAATTTGGTTTTGCCTTTTTCAAAGTATTTCCATAGTGTAACGGTTTTTCTTTCAGAGAGCAACAACAAGGAACATATTATTTCTTCAGTTGACTCAGGGCGCTTGGAAGTTTTTGTACAATTTTTTATTTCTTTTACTCTTTTTATCAAGTTCCTAGGTCTTTTGCATCATAAAATTATTTTGGTGCGGAACGTAGGAGGTACAGTTTACGTTTTGGTTTCAGGACAATGTTGCTGAAATGAACAAACCATTGGATCTTTCTTTGCCGAAGAATAAAAACAGTGTTCTGAAAATCTCTAAAAAGTTTGCAAAACAACCAGCTGTGGATTGTAGTTTTTCAAACTAATTTAATGTTCCTTTCTTACATAAATATGAAAAATTTTTTTATTGTTGATTAGTTCAAAAATTGTTATAAGATGGTAAGGATGATATGGTTACTTCATAGTTTTTTTCATATGCTATTCAGCAGTTGCCTTTTTTTTGTTTCACACATGTTCAGTGACTGTCATTTAAGACTTACACAGATTATTCAATGCCGCAAGTGTGAGGTCATTCTTCGAACAGTATTTGTTTTTTGAGGGATGTATCTAAATCAGTAATTCGGCTTTTGTGTTTTTGATTGAAACGCTTGGATTTTATCAGGAGCTTGATTTAAAACTGTTTTGTTATCATTACCATCGTTAAATAACTTCCTTATTATCAATGAAGTTTCCACTCTTATTTCTTCAAAGATTTTACAGTAATGTTATGGTATGTAATCATTTTTTAAGGGATTACCTCAATGATATTCTTGATAATTGTAATTTATTTGATATTATCTGGAATGTATAGTTTTACATTTGCTTCTATCCACATGCTGACTACAGATTTTGCATTCTTAAATGTGCGTCCACCGACGCGTACCACAAACAGCATTCTGAATTTGAGATTGATGTGGGAGTAATCGTTTTTTTGTTGAAGTCGCTGAAAGTGCTGCACACGATAAACTTTATTTTGTCGTTGAAGGCTGTTCCAAAACTGGTTTGTGGATTTGAGAAAATCCAGTCCGGTTTTAGAAAGGTCTTTCCGTTACTGTTCATTTTCTTCTTTGTGGTTTTGTTAGCCTTATTTAATTTATTGCTGAATAACTGTTAAAATGGTGAGAAACAACATTCTGAGGTTCATTCACCTGAGTATAACGAAAGTATCATAGGAGAGAGCTTTTTGTAAGAATACAAAAACTTGGAGGACTAACTGTTTGGGATTTTCTGAAAGTAAAAACAAGTTCCTGAATGTGATCATCGCCACAAACTTTATTTTTTCTAAAACGGCACTTTATTGTCTAAAAGATGAAGAAGTGAAGGAGAACGGGTTACACAGTCTATTGGCACAGTGCAGTCCTTTTCAAAATCTTTTGAAGTCTAGAATATTTCAAATGCTTATTATGTCACAAATGCTCTGTTCATATACTGGGTTGTTAGAGCAAAAAACTCATTTTTTTTAATCTGAATTCTCACTTAAACCTGAAACTAACTTTTGCTCACTTTCAACTAATCTATCAAGTTGCGAAAGATTTGTAACATGCAAAGCCTTTTGGTATGTTAAGGACCATCTGGAATCCCGTTGCATAGAAGAATTTATTTTGTGAGCAGAATAATGTAAGCTTAGATCACTCTCAAAAATGGGTCTCAGTCGTAAGTCGAAGCGAAATAGTACAGCTGATTTTCTTCTTAATAACTTTTTTGACATTATTTTTTTAATTGAAAATTGTTGAAGAACTTATTTTACAAATTTTAAACTCAAAGTCTTTGTATGAATGGTGCTTATTCTTCTGGGCAGTTATACGGATTTATATATGGGATAGAGGGGAGGCACTGAACAATTTTATCTGTTTTGGCATTGAGTCGGATTTGTTGAAGCTTTTATTAAGATTCTTTGTGGTCACTGAAAATTCTAGAATAGCCAGTTACGTTGAGAAGTTAAAAAAGTTTGAAAAACTGCTCTGTAATTCAATGCTCGTCAGTTACGCAACAACTTCAATTTCAGAACCTGATGGAATCTACTGCCTCCCGGTAAATCGAAATTAGAAAGTTTTTTGAAAGAATTTTTTGAAAAAAAATTTTTTTTTTCAACTGAAATTCGCATATTTCAAACTAAATTCGTGCTGTCATATTTGATGCTCTTCAAAATTTAGAGGATAATAGAACAAAATTTGTTGAACCAAACTTGTGCCAATCACTCCGTACTTGTTCGACAAACTTACCATACACATAAATCGTGGAAAGAGTAAGAAGAAAAAAGACTGTTTTGATATCTGCGAACATGTTTGCTTGTTGCCAATGACCAGACAGTTTCTTAGTTCTTTTAATATAGATACCGGTAAAAGCTGCGCACACAGAGGTAAAAATTTGAACACCTTCTACGCCGAAAATAAATGATTATTTGAGCAGTTTTGAAATGACGATTCAAAAAATGACAACGCAGTTTTTTCTGCAAAAACTTTTCTCATGATTTTTGAAATTGCATTACGAAAATGTATTTCATCTCTTGTCATCAGCATAGAAGGTGTTCAAGATTTTACTTCTGTATGCACAGCTTTTACGGGTATCTATATAGAGGAAACTAAGAAACTGTATGGTTATTGGCAACCAGCAAACACGTTCGTAGATATCAAAACAGTTTTTGCTCTTCTTATTCTTGTTACGGTTCGTGTGTATGGTAATTTCATCAAACAAACACGGAGTGATTGCCACTATTCAATTGCTATGTAAGGTAACTACCTTAATTTTAGAATGCTCTGATTTGGCCAGAAATTGCAACAACAATGTTCAATTCTGCAAAAAGGAAAACTTTATAAAACTCACGTCGTTTGTATGCAGAAAAACTTTTGGCTTTTGCGCTGTGGCTGCAGATCAAGATTTGGCTAGCATGTAAGTTTTCTAGCGTGCAAGTTTTCCAAAAGTAAACTAGATAAGTTATCTGTTTCTTGTAAAGCCTTTTTAAAGTCGCGGTAATAATTTCAGTTGGAAAATGCATTGATAGTGCGGCAGGGCGTAATTCTGCAATTTGTAACCAACCGTCATACGTAGAATTGGTACACCAGTATCATAAGAAAACATGCGGCAAATGCTATACGATTAAAGGCTACAACAGTATTTATCTTTTAGCTGTAGTGTTTTCAATAAAATTGCTTGAAATGTTTTGTATTCTTTTTTCATTATACAACCATAAAGAAGTTCAGTAAATGGAACAAGTTTGGTATGACAAATTTTTGCTGGATATGCTAGTTTAAAGCACTTATCTCAGAGCCAGTCAACATTTACCTGAGTTTGCCTCAAAAGCAACTGGTTCCAAGCAAAAGAAACATTTTGAAAATTTTTTTTACAGCTGCGGTGTTACTCAACCGGATCTATGTTCTCTATATTATTGCTTTACTTATGTATACCCTTCTCACCTCTTTCTTGCAGGCGTGTAATATCGACGGTAGCCTGTATCTAACACGATAAACGTGCCTATGGCGTTTGCTTCAGCGTATTACTAGGCTGGTAAAGGTACTTTCAGTGTCTTGTCTGATGCCAACAATCTATGCAAAACACAATTGTGCTTATTTTGTAATGGCTTTTCAGTTAAAAAGTTTATTCTAAATTATTTATCGACATTACCAGAAATGAAACAACCGATGTCTACAAATAGTAGCGAGCTTCTCATCAGAATTATGTTACAATCAAATACAGAATCAGATTTTAGCGCCGGTACTTGGCAAGTCTCATTTTATAACAAATATAAAGAAGCGGAAAGACTAAAGTAGGAAGATTTTAGCAAAATATTTATCAAAAGCTAAGTGAAAAATTTACTTCAATTGCGGTGAAACAGTTGTCTTACGCTAACGATTTTACTTTTTACAAAAAGTTTACATCTCTGACCTGTTTTTAACCCATTTGAACGCATTCAATAACTTTTGCTTCCAATTACTTAATTTCTTCTTCTGTTGTTCATATTTTTGTTGAGAGCTAAAATTTAAGTTAACTACTTGCTTCAAGAAGCAGCTTTTCAATTATTGTCACAAAATTACGCGTTGATAGGTTTATTTTAGTATGCGATTCTACTGTAATTCTGTGAAAAATCCTAGTTAAATGTTCTTTAAACCGCATTTCCTGATTCAGTCATCCACGTGTCAAGGTTAAAACTGCGGTCATAAGACATTTTTTGACGCTTGCTAATTTTCTGTTAAAGAAGTATCGGAAAATATACCATCGTTGTTTCTTTTCAATTCTTCATCTATTCCGAACGCGGCAGAACTCACCACAGGAATTTGTTGAATACTGTTGATCAAATAAGATGTATCTGCCTGCCTAAGTTCCTCATCAAAAATAGCATTAAAAGTATAGTTTTCATCTGATGGAATCATTAAAGTACTACTGTTCATTGATTCATTTATTTTTTCTACCTGAACAGTTACTTGTGGCTCAGGTTTCGAAACCACCATAGTGGGATTTACGGTCGCTGCACTTTTCTGTAAGTGAATGACTTCCTCGCTGTCGTTAAAAAACGGTGTACCTGCTGTCGTATAGGCTGCATAACTAATACTCGTTGCTGTTTTTTCTGTCATTAGTAAATCTACAGCTGCATTACTGGAGTTCTGATCTTTTACATTCGTTGTTAACGTATTTGACTGATCCTTGTCGATATCACTCTCAATTACTGGTGTCTTTGTTGTGGTCGATACAGCTAAATTAGTAAAAAATCTTTCAACGTCAGACGAAAGTGTCCGTTCTTTGTCGAGATGAACTGTTTTGAAAAGTTTCGCAGGCTTAAATGTCGCCAAATTTGTAGCAATTCTCATTGGCGCACTTGTGGAAGTTTCTAGCCAAATTGTCGTCTTGCCCCCGATCGCTAAATCTTTTGCTGGTTTTACATCATTCACATTTGTAGATGTCTCCGCTTCTAGTGTTTCCAGATTGTCGCGATCACTAGCTACTGAAAATATGGTATAGCCTATTAAGAACTTGTGTGTAAAAAAAAGTGCTCAACCTGCGATAAATATGTAAAGAATTACAGTGCTAGTAAGCAAGTTATGTTCTTTTTGCCTCGAACTACTTCTCTGTATAACTGAAAAGGCGAAAAAAACTGAAAGTGAACAAGAATCTGAAGCACCCGGTTGTCTAAAAAGTAAAAAACCTCTCAAACTTGAAGTGAGCTATGTATGTACAATTATTATGAATAACTTAAATAGTTGAATCGAACCGTAATGACTGATGTCACTTTCTTTTCCAGTGTTGGCTTTTGTCAGAACTGTATTTTCTGGTACACTAAACTAGGTAAACTTTATTGGCTTTTTAAAAAGTAGTCTTTTATTTCTTGGAAGAAGAATTTGGAATGTGTTCATTTTTTTAGCTGAATTTCTAACTTTCTTTAATTGATAAAAGAACATAGGTTTTGTAAAGAAATTTTTATTTCTTTGTATAAGGAAAGTCGAGAGAGAGGTAAGCTAGAAATTGGATAAGGAGCCTTTTATGCTGTTTTATTTAAAATTTTCTCACGACAGCTTTATTAACTAAATAAAAAGAATGTGTTTTTGCATTTCAGGACACAGAAAATGACTAATCAGCGACGAGTTTCAAAATGTTTTTGAAAGGTTTTTAAAGCATTGCTGTAAAATGGGGATAGCAATATAGTGTAAAAAACTTTAACACCGTTTTCTTAAAATTATTCAACAGTGCAGCACATAATGGTTTTCTGTGGTCATTCATTTTAAACTAGATACGGTTGAAATACATTTTTTTAGATCTCCGCAGGTTTTGAAGTGCTGCATTGAGATCTTGCAGATTAGTTCTTCGTTGAGGAAGTGTAAGAGGAGGTAAGCCCTTTGTCTCTGCTGGACAATTTTTTTTAGTTGTATTTCTTGAGAAAATAGGCTTTTTTTCGTTGAAGATTGACAAAAAGTAGGCGAGATTTGAGTTTAAAATTTCAGTAAGGGATAAAGAAAATTGAAAAACTGATGGCGTGGTGGAAAAGCAAGAAACAATGCTAGTATCTGGCCTTAATTTCTTTACTATTACATGCCCTGCTCTTTACTTCTGTAAACCTGAAAATTGCTAAATCTTTCTGGATATATTCAAAGTGAATAAACAGGCTCTCATTCGTTACTTTTAGCTCCCATAAAAATGACACTGCAGCATTTTTAGAAACTCTTGTTCAGATAAAACTCAACAACTTTAAGTTACAATTTCCAAACCGAATGCGATTCTATTTTGAAAATCAAAAAAATGTCTCGGTGAAGAGGAAGTATGATGCAAAGCAACACAGTTCAGTTCTAAATTAGATCGTAAAAATGACGTCACTAATTTGTGCAGCCACCAAAAAAAGGCTGCTGACATTTATTCTGGGTTCGTATGTTTAGTTGCAATTTAACTGCTGCAAAGTTATATCAAATCAAAGTAAAAGTGTCAACGCTTACTGAAATATAAAAAAATTTACTTATACAAGTAATTACATTTGAATGAGTACTAAAGATCATAGTAACTGATTTCAATAAAATTTGAGCAAAAAAAACCTTTTAAATTGTCAGTCGTCGATCCGCCTTCTGTGTCATTCTCTTGCCATGAAGATTTGAATACTGTTTCATTGTCTAGATACAAACTATTTTAGGATGTAAATGTAAACAATTAGTGTTCTCTAACATATTAGATGTTCCGTAAGCAATTTCAAAAACATAAATTTAGCAAACTTACATACATACAAGCTCTAGAAAAGAAAAAAAGCAGTTTGAAAAGTTTAATTACTTGTCGAATCTAAATTTGATACCACCAAGAGAATAATAATTGAAACCACCGCCAGAAGCGCTGTTACAATAAATGTTGCACAACAGAAAATTTTCTTTTTACTTCCGCACTTGGCTGTAATATAAGTTGCTGAAGTCACTTAATAACAGAATAAGTAAAAACATATGTTTTTGTAAACTGGTAGACAAAACCCCTAAAAAAATTCTATAAACAACACCTACATTTTCTTCTGTGCTGTCGTACTTGTTGTGACGAATCATAAGCTGACCACGACTTTTTGGTCACTTTGTCTAGGTTTTTGAAGCATACACAGTCCTGATAAACTTACTGTCATAAATTTATTTATTAGCCTTTAAAAACTTAGCAATTTACTGGTTAAAAAGCGTCTACATCTGCAAACTCATTTTACAGTAGGCTAAATAAAAATGTCATATAAAAGCATTCGAAACTCTAACTGCCACTGTATAATGGTGAATTAAGATACCCGGTTGCTGTGTATTAAATAAGACTCGTGTACCATAACTTGTACGTATTTCGCTATAACGGTGTAAAAGAATCAAGAATAATTGAGATGCAGCCTACTTTCAAGACAAAAATAGGCAAATATTTGTTGGAAACCTCCTTTCAAAATTTTAACCTGAATGTATACTGAAAAATGAATTAAAAAAGCGAAACACGAATACCTATTTAAGCAGTTGTAACATCATTTACGCGTGTTGCTTAAAAGAAGTACTCAACGGTAAGTGCTTCATTTAGCTGTTAACAGTACAATCTTAACCAATTTAAAATTTACTCAAGAAAAGGGTACATAAAGCAGCAATATTACATCAAATAAACTCACTGAAAACGTTATAAACCCTTAAAATTTGCATTACAGATACTTTTATCTTTTATGTATTACAGATACTTTTATCTTTTATGCATGTGCATCTATATTTATTCATTATCTTTGTTACTAATATTAATATCGATATTGATATAAGTGCTAATATCAATATTAATAATGGTAACAATAACAATAATAATAATCATAATAACAATAACGGTAATGATAATAATGATA